TTTTGTTGGGATTTTTTGGGAACAAATGAACTTTATCCAGGTGATTGAACAGTTGGCATCCATGAGGAAAAAAAACAGGAGAGGAAAAACCCCCAAAACCAACCCCAAAAAATTCCACGCGGGAAAGGAACAGAAACTTTTCCCTAAAATTAAATGGAAGAAGCAAATCCACYTCATCGCTCTGTCCACATCTCCCAACCCAAGCTTGGAATGAAAAGRAAACTCCAAATTCCAGCCCAATTCCCAGATGGGAGCTCTTGGCACCCCTGTGGACAGCAGCAAAATCCGCATCCGGGTGGGAATTCCGGGGGTTTTTATCCAGCAACAAATCCCAGTTTGGAGAACAAGGGGGGTTCCTAAGCTAAATCCCTAAATATTGAATCCCACACGCCGGGAAAGGGGACAGGGGGTTCTGTCACTCTCGGATCCCGGGGGATGGATCCCTAAGGAATTCTTGGCTTCCAATTTCCATCTCCCAGTGATTCCTAAGAAAATAAATCCGGCTTTTCCTGAATTCTTTCCCCCCCACCTTTTTTATATATAGATCTCTAGATTATATATATTTATAATTTCCCAAACCAGCGCTTTTCCCAGCGCTGACACGAGTAGTAAGGCATGGAATTCTGCCCCTTGGATTTGCCTGGAATTTGGGAAGAAGCCCGGGGAAGAGGAGGATGAGAAACCAAAAATGAAACCAAACYGGCCCCGGATGGATTTTGGGTTGAACCTCTGGAATCCCCAAAAACCGACGGGAAGCTCGGTGGGAATGGGAGAGCGGCGGAGACGGGAGCGTGCTTGGGATGCCTGGAAGAACTCGAATCGTGGAGGGGAGGATCGGGAACGGCCGCAATTCCCGGCGGGAATCGGGAATGTCCCCRCGCCCTCCCTGCCCGCATCAGCCTCTGGAATTCCTATAATTCTGAGTAAAATCCCTCAAAACAACAACAAAAGAGGAAAAGAAACAACCAAMCAACCAACCCTCCCAAAGGAAAAAAAATTCCCAAACAGTTTCGCTTTGGAGTCTCTGGGARCGTCGGGAAGGCCCAACTTCGCTGGATGAGACAGAACCAAGGTGGTTTTTGTCTATCAGTAACTGAGAGGTTTTTAAACTACCAACGGTTCCAAAGTCTATTCCAACCGGAATCCAACCAAACGTGGGAGGCTCCTGCAGCGCTTCCCACCTCCCAGCCAAGTTTTGGGTGGCAGCCAATCCCTAMGGAAAACAAACAAAACCATACTCAACCGGAATCGGGAATTTGCACTTATTTCTCGGCGGCATCGTGGGATTTTTGGGAATATCAGGATGCGCTGCCTGCGTTCCYGGCTGGAGGAGGCGCAGGGGAACGGAGCAGCCGTGGACTGGGCTCACTGAATGCAGGATGGGGCTGGAATTGCTCTCTCCATCCACCACCCAAAGTTCCGGAGCGATCTGGCCACGGCCATTCCCGCGGAAGGTTCGGCGTCGGCGACGCCGCTGAAGGCAGAGAGAGTCGCTGAGAGTCCTTGTTGTGCTGGTGCCAAAAAAATCCAAAACAAAAAACAAAAAAAAAAAAAAAAAAAAAAAAAAAAAAAAAAAAAAAAAGGAAAAAAAAAATTTAAGGAATTCTTCCCCCTCCCTGCCAGCTTCCATGAAAATCTGGGAGCCAAAGGAGCCGGGGCTCGGCCGCCCCCGCTGCGGTCACTTCTCCCGCAGGGACGGCGCTCGCTGCCATGAGGAGTGGTCTTGTTGCATCCTAGAAAGCCTTGGGGCGTATCCAGCTGGGATTAAAGCAGATTCCACGGAAGTGTGGTAGAAAAGGATGGCAGAGCCAGGACAAGTTCTCCTCCAGCAGGATTATTTCCACGTGGCCGACTGTGGGATGGAGCGGGGYGGGATCATGTCCAGCAGGTACTCGCGCTGCCGATCCACGGCCGAGGCCGATTTGTGCACGCTCAGCCCGGGGCTGACAAAGGGCAGGGCCCCACCTGGGAGAGAACAGCAGCAGTCACAGAACGGCTCAGGAGTGAGGGAAAAGGGGAATGGAAACACGGGGCGAGCGTGATTCMGGMACGGATCATCCCGGGCCAAACCCAYCCCAGYAAAAACAAAGGTTTCGGACCAAAATTCAGGATTTGAGCTCTGGAATTAAATGATATTTCAACTGATGGATRAAGCTGTTGGGAATAAAAGAATCCCAGGAAATCCATCAAGAAACTTCACAAAGGTGGTGCTGGATGTGGATATGGATTCAGGGATCACCAATCCAACTCAAAAATGGAGAAAAAAGGAATTTTTATTTGGTTTCATCACCTGGTGGCACTTTTTGATGAGGTCAAAC